ATCATTATTATAATCAAAATTCTGAAAATATACCTGCACTCTGATCCATGTAATGTTGTTTGCTTTACTCTTTGGTACTCGAGCTTTTCTTTGTGATCAAAATATTTGTATAACTCTAATAAAATATAAACAAATATTTAGAAGAATCTCACATAAATAAATAAATATGCACATGAATATTTAGAACAATCTCACTTACGTATCAACCATCTTCTTCATATCTGGGTATTTTGATTGATCACCAACTAACAAATTCAGATAATATATTATTTTTCTTATAGGATTAATTGCAACCAACAACTAGTGACCACTGTAAAATAAACAAAAGTTAGATGGGAGTTTTCTACACAATGTCAAAAAATGGAAAATTATAATAAATGAAGTTAGAATAAAAATCTAACTCATGACCAATATTATATGGTAAAAGAAACAACTTTTATGTATCTTTGTTGGCCATAAATGCACCGACTAAGTACTCTTTGACTTGATTTGGATCTTGTGCAATTAACCGTGCATTGACACAATTGGGAGATAAAAAAGAAATTATTTTTGCTAATTGACGTGGGCGCATCAATTTGTCATACAAGAACCTTAAATAAAAACATAATTAACATTAGACTGTTCATTGAAATGAATAAATAAATTTTTAAATTAATTAAATAAAGTTGATTGGAGTAGCTGATGTATGAATTGATAACACCGATGTCTAATTCAATATGATCAAAAATCTGATCCATATCCTCTTTAGCAATTGTTTCAGAATAAGGAAAACCAAAGATATCTTCCTCCATAGTTATATCACGAGCAGCGCCATCCATCATATTTGTTGTTCCCATATATGTTTGAAGGCACGACCTAAATAGAGACATAGATGTTTTTTTAGGCTCGGTCTTTGCAAGATCCTTTTTTTGACATGTTGTTAAATTCAGGCTTCTTATTTCTACTAACTTGTTGCAACCCTTGAGCATGAATCCAAATATCATAAAATTAGTTAGGTAATGTATAAGATCATGAAGCTTTTGATTTTGGAGGATAGGATTAACATTTTCTATGATTATATATCAATGTACCTCTTTTTTTTATGCAACTGCCTCGTTGTGCCGTGTAATCCCCTTATCTTTTGATTTGAATTTTGTAGGAGTCTAAAAAATTAGTACAGTTGAGAAGCTAGAATAAAATCAAATTGGACCCTGAAGAAAGATAAGGGGATTCTCCTACCTTCCCTCTCCACTTAGAGAGATGGAGCATTAATTAAGTTACAAGTGAATGCTCTTTATTCAATATCATAAATCTTTATATATAAGTGATACACATATCTCTCACTCTATAGAATCTTATGTTGCCTCCATATTTAATTATCTATCTACCTCAATATGCTTATTACTTTTCCAAAAGGTGTTCATGATTGCGCAACTGCAGATTCAAAGATAAGTTAAAGAATGAGAAAGATTCTTGTAGGCTTGATTCTTTTTCGAATATACTATTTAGTTAGTTTTGTTTAGGTTATCTAAAAACATGTTAAATTTATTTTCAAAACAACCATGTTTAGGGATGTAAACTTGCACCCATTAGTGGTGATCCCCCGCGGAGATTCCCTATTTGGGGTCCCAAATATGGGGAATTTTCGCCCCACAGGGACGGGGATGGGGAATAAAGTTCCCCCGAAGACACTTTAAGGATGGGGATTGCGAACATATCCCCCATCCCGCACTAGAATACCATAATATCATTAATCAGTATTTAATTTAACATTTTTATGTAGGTTTTTTGGCCATTTCAAATAACTTTTTTTATAAAATGTAAAACACATATGTAATATTGATAAAAGAGAGAGATCTAAAAGATTATTTTAAGTTTTGTTATGTTTAAAAATTTGGTGTTCATGAATCTCAAGAATAAATATTGTTAAAACAATATGTTTAACGTAGATGATTAGTTTATTAATTTCTTGTGGTTAGTTTTTGAATTTTTTTATTCATTTAATTAAAAATAATAAATAAAAATTTATGTTTATAGATCTTCGCAGAAACTGTGGGGATTAGTCGGGATCCGTGGGGACGGAGATGGGGGATAAAATCCCCTCGTGGCTGGGATCCGAGACGGGGATGGGGAGTAAATTCGAGGGTGGGGATTGAGATGAGAATGTATCCTCCGCCCCCGCCCCGCCCCATTGACATCCCTTACCATGTTAAACTAAATATCTAAGTCCAAATCTATCTTACATGTTGTAGACCATTGGTCTTTGCATTACTCATCAGTATTCGACATGTTTTGAAAGATTCATGAAACAACTTCAATTATTCGTAATGTTTTAAACTCAAATAACTCTCAAAATTAAACATCAATAACACAACCCAATTCCCATTGTTACAGTACTCGGAATGACACTTGGAAACCTAAAACATCAAACGAGAACCACAAAAGGCGAAGAAATCAGCTTAATAGTCTCTCGACCAAAGTTATTTGTTTGATGTCACAATAAAAAATTTGGCTGTTTTTAAAAATGATTCCCATAGTTTTTAGATAGGACCAAACATTTGATTTTAGAATCAATGTTAACTTTAGATGAAACAAAAAAAAAGCATTAAACCAATATAGTTACTCCATTGTCCATGGGTTGTCCATAAATTGAGCCATCTATGTTTCCCTATTCCCAAATCCTAAATATTTCTCATCAATAAAGGATAAATCAGAATAACTTACAAATCAATGTTGTCAGCAACAAAACCCAAACAAAAGCTTGCAACCTAAGTGATATAGACTTAACGGTAGAACCAAAAATGGTACCGCAACCCCCTTCCTGATTCCACGACACTTAGCTTAATCCCTAAACAAAAATTGCAGATCAAACTACATCATTAAACACCATAATAAACCAGAAAAATGCAGAATTGAAGTCAGACCTGAAGGGTTTAGGGAAATGCATAATTGAAATGCAGAATCTAAATCATATCACTATTCTTTGAGGAATCAAAATCAAGAGTACTAACAACCAACGTTTCAATCAATAATTGAATTCAAAAAATAGACCTGAAGGGTTCTTGAGCTTCTCTAATGGCTTAAACAAGAGCAGCAGTAGCAAGTGCTTACACACTCCGATTCCTCAAACAAGTAGCAGAACATCGATGGAGAATCAAGAACAGAACAACGCTGGAGAATAGAGATCGAGCACAAGGACTGGGTACAATTATGGAGAATAGAGATCGAAAACGGGAGTTAAGCGATGTTTTGAGAGAGATAAGAGATTCGAGAGTTTCAGAGAAATAATGTTTTGAGAGATATAAGAGATTAGAGAGTTTAGCGCTTTTGGAAAAAAATCCGAGTTTTAGGATTTTCGTATTTAGAAATTAGAAATTAATGACCTTAGGCAGCGCTTTCTGATGTATTTCCTTTAGCGGCGCTTTTTCATAAAGTAAACACTTTCTGATGTATGGCTTATAGCAGCGCTTATATAAAGTGCTTTCTAAACACATCCTTTAACAGTGCTTTTCAAAAGCGTTTTCTAAAATATGGGTATGTATGACCTTTAGCCGTGCTTTTCATAAACGCTTTCTAAAATTAGTCTTTAGCAGCACTTTTTTTCAATTTAATATATAATTTTAAATTTTTTATTTAAACTTATAGCAACGTTTTAGGGAAAAAGCACTGTCTGTTAGGGGTGTTCAAAACCAAACCGGTCCAATAGAAAACCACAAAACTGAACTGAACCAAACCAAAACCGCAAAAAACCACATTTGGTTCGGATGTTTTTGGGTAATTTTCTAACAGAATCGCGCGGTTCAGTTTAGTTTGCGGTTTGTATTTTACAAACCAAACAAAACCAAACCAAACAAAACCAAACCGCATTATGTTATAAAATCTAACTAACCAATATATATTTTTATAATTCTTTAGAGAAATCAACATGTATTATGTATATATTTTATCATATTCTTTGTATGATATTTATTTTAATTTACAAATTATAATAAATAAAATATTATTCATGTATAAATACTATTTTCATAAAATATATTTATCGTATTCTTTGTATAATATTTATTTAAAAATGCAATCTTATGTATATCTTTATTTAGATTTAGATAAAATTATGATACACAATTTTATGTATTAAATTATAAATTTATTTTAACAATTATAAATTTTTTTATGGTAATGTATGAACGATTAAATATAAAATTATATTTTTCTCTATATGCGCATGTATGACTCAATAATTATTTTGTAAAAACTCGAACCAACCGGTCCAATTCAAACCGTATTAATTTGATTTGGTTTGATTTTATTTTATTTTTAAAAACCAACCGAATTACACATTTTTTCTCTTACCATTTGAATAATTTTTTGCTTCAAACCGTCTAAACCGCACCACAAACAAGCTTACGGTATGTGGTGTACTGCCTAAAACAAATTTTGGCGGAGTGTGAGTTGATTCTATGATAAAACAAATTTTGGCGGAGTGAGAGTTGATTCTATGATAAAATGGTTGATCTATGGTCAAGTCATTGGCCTACTATAACAACTAATTATTTCAAATATACTAAAAAAATATGAAACATGTCTGCTTCAACTAGTCGGATTCTGTATCTAGTAATTAAACATTAGCCTTTTAGAAAATAGTGTATGGATTTAACTAGTAAAATATAAATTGTTTCTTTTAAGAGACTTAAGCACATCTGATAATAAATGAGGAGGAATACAATGTTATTATGATCATCACAGCCGAATAATTTATCTTACCTTCAAATGGATTAATAAATCATCACAAAATCATATTCTCAACCATAAAAGGAATCACATATTCAAGATAATACCAAATAAATTTCCAAAAAGAAAAAAGTGAATCCTATCTAAACCAGCAAAGGAACCAGAACAGTCACGTTCAACAAAACCCCAAATTGTAAGCAAAATATGGTCATGTGATATCTCTATAACTCATCATATACTATTACCATATATAATCCCAACTTTGGTGTTACAAATTCTTCCCAAGTTTGCATTCAAGTGAGAGTGAGCTCAAGAGACAAATCACCTGTCTCTTTTTTATTCACCTCCTTTCCTCTAGCGGTTAATTCTTTGAATCCTTGTTGGTCCTTATTGTTTGCCTGAAAAGCAAAATGGAATGAATTGTTTTTTAAGCAACAACACTTTTCTATAACTATTTTAATTTGAGATGAATAAATGAATTACTTGGACAGTGCTAAGGATACCGTTGAAGATGATGTAAGTGTGCTTCTTCTGTTCATTCCTGGAATATTTAAGAGAACTATTCTAAATTATAACAAAAAACATAAACTTAAAGAATTATAAGCACTGTAAAAAAGAGATGATAAATAATAAAATATATGAAGTTCAAAGAATTACTGTCTTTGGGAAGGAGTTTGTAGGTAGCTTGGAACCATGGTTGAGGAGGAGATCATTCTGGAAGCTAATAAATTTGCTGCCATAATATTCTTCTTTGCTTCTGGTAAACATAAATTACAATATACATACTTATCAAATTTCATCATGAAAAAACCTAATGAGTAAAGTGATGACGAAATTTGAGTTGTAGTCCAACACAAAATGATAGGAACAAATTATGGAACAATATTTGACGTTACAACTTTAGCTTAAGTTGGTCACGGAATAGGGAATCAAACCAGTTATGCTGACGTGACTATGTCTTGTTTGGTTCCTCTATTTTCTTAGCATAATATGTCACAAAATATAAATATCTTCTTTCTCATTCCTCTATTGTACCAAACAATATGTCTAATATACTCTTCATTAAACTATCTCTTCCATTTACAAATATGCATTTACATGTGTTTCTGTGACATGATATAACAGTACAATTAATATCCATACCTTGACTCATTTCCTCATGTTTCATACTCTTGTACATCTGTCATTTATATTCAAATTTCATAATTAAAAAAATAGAACAAAATTATTATCATTTTTTATTTAGAAAAACGGAAGATAGTGGTTAATTATGATAAACAAAAATACCTGAAGGTGGCTTTTCACATGAGATATAGTAAGCCCTTTAACATTCATTAGTTGTAAAATTAACTTTGGTGTAACCCCTCCTGAAAATACAAACATACATATGTATATTAGTAGTGTTGAGATCAATATTGTAATTATTATATAGAGAAAATGAAAATTAAAAAATTTAGGTAGCTTACTTCCTTCTCTTTCAAGCTTTTGAACTGCATGCACAAAGCAACGGTGAAGATCTGGTGTCCAACGAAGTCGAGGCATTTTCGACCGACTATAAGGTCTTACCATAGGTGCTTTTAGACTCATATCGGACGGGTTTGAAGAGTTATTATTGTCGACAACTCCGCTAACAAGAGAAGATGAAGATGAAGACATAGTTTGAGATGAGGATCGTTTGACAGACATTTGAGTTTCACTACCTTTCATTGAGTTTTTTTCTCTCTTTTTATTGAGAAGGGAATGGAAAGAGTGGTGGAATTGTGGTCTTATAAAGATACAAAACAGAATAAATACTATTAATACTCCGTCTTATAATAAATATCTTATTTGATCTCTAAAAAAATAATTAAATGTATTGATTTTGATTTTAATGATAAAATTAGTTTTATTTATTAAAATACTCTTATTTATTATAGTTAGTGAACTCTTGAAAATTAATAAATAAAAATATAATAATAAAAAAATAATAAAAATTGTATTAATATTCTAAAAAAATATTTATTTTGAGACATAAAAGCTTTGGTGTACAGTAAAGTGTGAAGTTTAGTCATAAAGAGTTTCGATGGATAAAAGGAAAATTTCAAACACATAAACTCTGAAACTGAAAATTGTTCAAAAATGCCTTCATGATTGGGTGAAAATGAAAGGTTAAAAAGGTGAAAGGAGTTCAAGTCTTTGTGGTATCATTTTCTTTTTGACATTCCTTTGGGTCTTTTCCGGACATTCTTTGTCTCTTAAGGAAAATAATAATTGCTTATATTATATAGTACTTTTTTATTTTATTATAAGTAATTTTGGTATTACTGTATGAAAAAGAAAAAATATAAGGAGTTTTATAAAAATCATCCCATATGAAAATTAAAAATTTAAAAATTAATAATAGATAATAATAAATACTTACAAATATATCATAATATATAATATTAATGATTTATTGGTATTATAAAATAATTTCTAATTCAGTATTTAAAATTAATGTGAGATTTTGGATGGAACTATAGTCTCGACAAGAGTTTAAGCATGTTGTTGAAGTCTGTTCACATGCTAATGTCGAAGTCCTGTATGTTGTAGTTGAAGTACGTTCAAGCATGTACTAGTCAAAATGTTAGGATTGTTAGCAATATTGAATTGGGCTTGTTAGTTTAGCCCAATTGATTAAGTTAGATTGTAGTTTAAGTTAGCTTAGTAGTATATAAATAGACTAGTTCCCTCAGGTTGTTAAGAGATGTTGATTGTTGTTATTCACTTGTAATCTTTGAACCCTTATTGAGTAAGTGAATAGTAAAATAGTTATAACCAATCCTGATTTTCTTCTTCTTCTTCCCTCTTCTCTCTCTTTTTCGTGAAAACCTAATAGGGTTTCTTGTGTTTTTCAAGAAACTCAATTTTTCTCAAAATTTTTCTTTGTTCTTGACAGTAGTCAGTTACCTGTTGTAATACGGTGGAAGAACTGACTTGAGTGTTTTGCGTTTTATCGCAAATGTTGCGGTAAGCAAGAGTCGCCACCGACTTTTCTTTTATCCAAAAGGAAAGACTGAAAAGAACAGGAAAGACCTTTGAGATTGTTTCTTGAGTTCGGGGGATAGATTATGAAAAGAGAAGGTGTTATCACCCTTTTTATCCATAGTTATCTATGGGCTCTTAGTTGCTTGCTAGATCACTTGCTTTTGTTTGAAAATGTGCTTTGTGTGGTTTTTGAAAGTATTTTGAAAAGGCGTCATCGTTTAGGCAAATTTTGTAATAGTTCTCGTTCGTAAGAACGTATACAAAGTGTTAAGCTTTTGAAAATATTTCATGTTTGGGAAAAGGTTTTGAAAGTGTTTTTGAAAGTGTTGGTGTTTGTTTTGAAAATAAGCAAGGATGTTTGATTTGAAATTGAGCAAGCAACTAGGAATAATCTACCTACTCAAAAGTCTTAGTTCATTTCTTCCTTTCCTTTGATATTGCTATCTTACCATTGATTTGGTAAGAAGCCTTATCTTTGGACGTAAAGGGACGGACGTGGGTCATCGTATAACCATGATAGCAATGTTGTGAGATATCTTAGCATTTCTCTTTGAGGGACTAAGATCATTTTGAAAGGCAACATTGATAGCGTCATCGAGGGACTATGATCTTATATTTTTTATTGCTTTTTGCTAAGATATCCCACATGCATAACATGACCATCTTTGTAAGGCAACAAAGTGGAATTACCCTAAGGGTGCAAGTGTGCAAATGTATTTGATTTACATGCTTGTTTATCTTGGATTAGGGTTTGCTAACTTGTTGATTTTAATCTTTCCATACAAACCCTAATTACTAGCATTTATATAAAGCAGTAAATTGCGGAAAGTAAAAATACTAAGCTATTACATCATTAGGGGAGGGGGTATACAAATTTACAAATGGGGATTTGCAAGAAAATTAAACATAATTAACTATTCCAACTATATTGAATATTGTACACAATTGAAAATAAAATGCAAGAATATAAATGGAAAAAGAAATGATTTTTGTTTGATTTTTTAATGAAAGAGTTTTGTCTTGACCTAATTAAAGAAAATGATTAATTAAAATTAAATAAAATAACTTAAACCTAAATTAAATAAGAAAGAAATTAGGTTAAAAAGTATTTTTAAGGTTTTTTATGAAAAGGTTTTAAATTAATAATAATAATAATGAAAATTAATTAATTAAAAAAAAACCTAAACTCTAAATTAATTTTAATTGGAAAAAAAATAATAATTAAACTTAAATCTAAATATTTATTTATTAAAAGGGAAATTAAATTATTAAGAAAATATTTTTGTTCTTTTGTTTTATAAAGAAAATAAAATATATAAGTGTAAATAATAAATAAAAATATTTTGGATTTTTTATTAATAAAAATAATAACTATAATAATAAAAATAATATGAAATGAAAATAAAATAAAGAAAAAAAATGAAATAATAAAGAAAATAAAGGGCCAGGGGTGTAAAAGTAAACAGGGGTTAGAGGTCAGCAAAAACAAAAAAACCAAAGGGGGAAGCCCATGCGACTGCTGAAAAAAAATGGAAGAAAAATGTGAAAAAAGAGCAAAAGGGTATTGTAGCGGTAAAATCAATGAAGTCGCCATCGAGTATTTATTTATCCCATATAAAAGGGAAAGGAAAATCATCGAAGAAAAACCTAAAGGGGGAAATCAAGATCTTGCGACCGAGAGATTGGGTAATGGAGTCGATTACGCGAGGGGAAGGTATTAGCACCCCACACGTCCATAGTACTCTACGAGATCCACTCTCGTTATTCTAATCAAAGAGTGTGTTCAATCTAATGCTTAAGCGTTATAAACTAAGAGGGAATGCATGCAAAAAAAACACGGGGAAAAGAAGGAAGTATTTACAATTTTTGCTCGGCTGAGCCCCGTGACCAGATGCCTACGCATCCCTTTTAAGGAATCAGAGTGCCGTAGTTCGGCTCATATATTTTGTTTGTTTGTATTTTTTAAACGAACAATGTTGCATTCGATCATTCCACCGCTCCTCGACCTTTGGAGACTTATGACCTGTAGTGGAAGGGAGCTAACATGCTCTTAGAAGAGAAAAGCCGAATGGCAAAAGGAAATGGATTGGTTGGTATTTTTTATCATGAAAAGAATTTTTGTATGATTAGCATTTTTTATACATTTGCCAAGAAAAAATAGTTTTAGTTTTAAATGCAATTATGCAAAAATGGGAAGATAACAACTATGGGAGACTAACCTATCTCTAACCTAATGTTATAATACAATGAGAGATCCTATCTAAGTTAGCATGCCAAAGAAAGTCTAACATACTATCCTATAGGGAATATGCACTGAGAGTGAAGTCGTGATCTCAATTTCTAAATTGAGTGACTCATCGATCAACAAGAAATAAAGGAAAGTAATAAAGTCCTATAGAGAGCATGCAGTGAGAGCGAAGTCGTGATGTCAATTTCTAAATTGAGTGAGTCATCGATCAACAAGAAATAAAGGAAATCAATAAAGTCCTATAGGGAGCATGCACTGAGAGAGAAGTCGTGATCTCAATTTCTAAATTGAGTAACTCATCGATCAACAAGAAACGAAACAAACACAAGCACAACACATATAAGAAATGAAGTGGGGAATGCCTGCTACAGTTCTTTAAACAGCGACTTCGAGCGCACGCCCTTTATTTCCTACTTCTCATGATATCTAGAAAAGCGATAAAAATGCGGAAATATAACTTGGAAGCAGTATAATATCAAACGAATAATAAAGTCCTCAAAAAGTGCAACCAAAGGAAAGAGACTCAGAATACTTCGCGCAAGCTGGCATCAACAAACAAACAGTCAGAAATCAAATATTTGGAATAGGTGTCGAAGCTTCATCGATGTGAAAATTGAAATTCTGGCTGCAGATACTCAATGTCACGTTCAATGTTATGACACCGTATCTGACTTACTATATGACAGTAAATACAAAAGCAATAAAGAACACAGTCAATTGTTTACCCAGTTCAGTGTGCAACAACACCTACTCTGGGGGCTACCAAGCCAGGGAGGAAATCCACTATAAGAGATGTTAATTCAGGAATAAACCAACCAGTTTATCTCCTTCACTTAAGACCTACCCAATGCAATTCCAATCTAAGTACAACTTAAACCTGAGTTCCTACTCACTCCCCCTCAATCACAGCAGTGATACATAAACCAATTTGACTTAAGAATTGATGAAGATACTCTTCAAAAACAAACACTTGATTAAGCTTCACAGCTTTTTAATCAAGCAACACAATCACTCTTGCTTCACAGCTTTGAGTGATCCACACATCTAACTTGACTCTGCTTCATAACTTTAGTCAAGGAACATTCAAACACTCTTGCTTCAAAGCTTTGAGTGCTACATAGCCCTTACAATTAAAAACCTATTCCAAGTCACTTATCACAATGATAATTGCTTGGAGTACAATAATCAAATCTATACAGATTACAAATGATCTTCTGATCAATAAAAGGGATTTTTTGAAAAACAGCAGCTCTGTTGAATATATAGAAGCTGCAGCTTCAGTTAGGGTTTCCACAAAAACCTAGGGTTAATTCCGTTAGACCTAAAGACCAGGTCACAGGACTTTATTAACCAGGTTAGGGTTGAGCTAGGTTACCCCTCAGAAAATGCAGGATTCTGTTCAGGAAAGACTGAGTTATTTTCCTGAAAAAACTCAGACTTATCCAACCTGCAA